ATGATAAAAATTTCAAAATGATTGCACTGCTTTAAAGCCCTTTGACCTTTAATAATGTGTGGATGCACTCTGATGTGCTACGCATTCTCCAACGCGCCTAGGCATGCTTCTGATCAGGTGGTCAATGTCCTCCTGTGGTATCTCATTCCAGGCAACCATCAACTCCTCTCGAAGTGCTTCTAGAGTCTGAGGAGGACGTTGCAAATTGAGCAATCTCCTACCCATCATATCCCACACGCGCTCAATTGGGGATAAGTCGGGAGATCTTGATGGCCATGGTAACAATGTGACATCATTATGTTGAAAGAAGTCTATTGTGACTCTTGCAACATGTGGTCGGGCATTATCTTGTTGGAAAGTTGGATCTGCCAGGGTGTCAAGATAGGGTAAAAGATGGGGTTCTAGAACTTCGTGGATATAACGCTGCGCGTTCATGTTACCTCTGATGAAGATTAAAGGTGACCTGGAACCATAAGCTATAGCGCCCCAAACCATAACTCCAACAGTGTGATGAACATGTCTTTCAACAAAAAACTGTGGATTCCTCCTTTCACCACGTCGCCTTCTAACCCTGGCACGACCACCGTGCATGACTAAACAAAATCGAGACTCGTCACTAAAGACAATACTGTTCCATTCCTGATCCCAGAGTGACCGTTGTCTGCACCACTCAAGGCGAGTACGTCGGTGTTCTCGAGTTAAAGGGAGGACCCAGTGTGGCCGATATGAAAACAAGCCAAAACTTCTCATTCGTCGGTAAACACTTCGCATGCCAATAGGTCTTCCGTGTTCTGCAAACCATTCATTTGCAATGGACCTGGTAGTGGAGAAACGGTCCCTTAAGGCCAATAATATTAGGCGGCGATCTTCACGGTCTGTTGTTCTACGGGGGCGTCCAGTGCCCCTTGCTCTTTGCGTACGGCCTTCTCGAAGCCATGCCTGACAACACCTAACCACAGTGTCTATACTTCTTTGCACTCTAACTGCAATTGCCCGAAAAGAAAGTCCAGCTTTCCGAAGTCCCACTATACGGCCCCTATCAAACTCACTAAGTTGACGAAATCGTACAGGTCTCCGTACTCTAGGCATCGTAACCGATCGTAAAGGATGTCAAGAACCAAAATCCGCCAACGTTGATTCTTTACTGCGGCTCAAATATTCATTTTTAGAGCGTTAGAGAATTAAAAAAAAGCAGTATAAAAACCGGAATGTCCAACTGATAAGGCTGACAATTTTTTCACTTGTTATTTACAGTAAGATAAATACATTCACCATCTTTTATTAAAATAAAACCATTTAAACTGGGTGTTCGGATTTATATGTCACTTAGTATATGTGGCTAAGTTGATCAGAAAATTGTCTAATAATAATCGACATAATCGCCATCGAGAAAATCGACTAGTTAGAAATGGAGAAAGGAAATAGCAATTTTGGGACACGTAACGTTTGATAACACCCAACGCACTCGTGCACTGGCTACTTTTTCAGGATTTACATGCCCAACAGTAGAATTTGAATATTTCTTTCTCGGATGAATGTACGTTCTATTTACATGGTGCTATAAATAGACATAATTTTCGATATTGGAGGGACTCGAATCCACAATTTTTTTTCGAGAGGTCTCGCAATATCCTGAAAAAAAATTCGAAAATCATATTGTAGGACCTTTCTTTATTCCTGGAAACTTGACGAGCGAGACGTACTTGGACATCTTAGAAAATAGAACAGAGCCACGATTTACCGAAATAATAGAAAATGACGTTAATTAAAATGAAAATAGGAGAGTCACAAATGGGGGTGCGACCTTTTCGTTGAGCCACCTTGTATATACGAGCATTATGCTTGAAGTTTAATTTAATGAGGTTACTTGATTCCGTGAGGTAATATTATAGATCATAGAATATAAGTACGTATCGAGAGCTCTTATAATGTTATCAAACATTGTTGACGAACAGTTTTACACCAGAGCTCCCAAGGAATGCCCAAATAGTATACTAACGGTTCAGGCAAAATATACGTCTTTCTGATGCCATTCCACCACATGGAAAATTGGTCTAAAAGTTGTTTCGAATGCATAGGAAGTATAACGTTTGTCTTCTTGACGTTATTTTTTATTTAATCAAAGGAAAAAGTTTAGTTTGACGCGTCTGATAGACTGAGTTTTATTTAATTCAGGGCTCCTATACACCGTGAGGAATTTCAAGCAGGGCGTTCATGTGTCCATAAAAGTCATTTTGTTTGATATTAAAGGTTTTTATAGTATTTCAGTCTATTTATTTATATCATCTGATTGATGGCCATGTAGTCCTATTTGCAAATACTGTAAATAAGGTTTGAAACTGACAAAAATGTAACACTTCAAATCGATGCTTAGAGGTGTTTTAAAACGTCGTGGGCCGTGACCGTTACATTATGTGTATGCGCAGAAGACAAATATTAGAGCAGCGGGAAAAATATTACCCTAATCAAGAATATCGACTTTTTCGTCGCAGACTGTCTGGCACTACACTTTGAACATCTAAGGGAGAACTATCGGTACTCCTTGGAGTGCGTATGTAGATTACGATTTTGTGTGTTCGATCTCTTATGATAGACTAGGTATTGTGAAGATTGTTTTTATATCCAATATGTGAGTGTAACCGCGTTAGCATTGAAGATTCTTCTTCTTCTTCTTTTTCACATATAAAGCGTGATTACCTGAGATGTAACGTATATGCGTTTAATTATATTAATCAACATTTAGAACACTACATAGAATTGGATAATCATTACCACAATTATTATACACGAACAAATATAGATTTCCATTTACAAAACTCCAATAGTAATATAACCTGCAAATCAATATTTCAGAAAGGATTACTTGAATTTAATAAACTAAATAATGATATAAAGTCTACTTGTAATTTAAAGATGTTTAAAAAAAATTAAAGGAATATTTCATAAACAGTGAAATTCTTAGGGATGCAAATTATGTTTTTCTAAAGATCTGTATGTTATGTAATTGTTTAGTTTTCTAAAAGAATGTAATTGTAGCAATCATGCTAAATAAATCTTAAACACACACATGCTTCTATTGATATTTTATTTGCGAACCTTTTCAGAGAAACATGAACTTCAATATGATAATTTTACTCAGATCTATGATAAGAACCAGAACAAGGTTGTCCATAGCCAGGGCCGCCAGATTGTATATGTTTTTAAATTCATGAGCCGTGAAAAGGAGGCAGGGGAACTATTTTACCTCTAAATCAGCTGATGAATCGAGTAGCAGAGGCCACAGGTGTATCACTCAATACAGTGAAACACATTCTGAAAGAAGGTTCGATCAAACCCACAGGCAGTAAATTTGTCTCCCCAAGAAAAACTGTTTCCAAGCGAAGTTCGAAATCAGCAGTGGACAGATTTGATGCAGAGATAATAAGGGAAATAATTTATAAATTTGTCCATATTCATAAGCATAACTATATAACAAGTTTGGTGTACAACCTGTCGCTCAGACGGAAATTAAAGGAAGTAAAATTGGATAATTAGTTGCACCGGTGGTTCAACCGGTGAATTAAAAAATACGCCTGGTATCCACGTATCAATTTCATGATCTCAAGTTTTAATTTTTTGAATTGACACGTTAAAAAAATCAAAGGGGAGGGGGACATTAAAGAAAAGCACAGTATGTATTAGGTGTGGCACCAGTACAGTGAACTTGTTTCAGTTAATATCAAGGACCTCCTTTTCTGTACGATCAATCAACACTCTACATGCCGGATAACCGAGGATTTGATGTGACACAAACATCTCGTCAATAGCGGGAAAAAACTAGGCTTTTTGTTTAGGGCTGAGAGGTACTTTTCTACACAAAACCACCTCACTCTCTACAAAGCAGAGACAATACCTAGCCTCGAGTACTACTCACATGTTTAGGACGCATCTGTCTGATGCTTTTCCCAGTTCAACTGAGCTTAGGCAGTCCAAAAATCGGATTAACAAAGTTTCTTTAATACCAGCCGCAGGGCCCTGGTATTCAGGCTTCTGCTTAGAGAGCGGCTTCGGTATAAAAAAGTGCCAATTGTACAGGGTGGCCAACTAACAATTCGAGGCACTGTATCTGCCAACGGCCAAGAGGAAAGCCTGAAAAATATTTCAAGTTTCTGAAATGGCCGCCAGGGCGCGTAAATGCAATTTTGAATCTAAAAAAGTGATGTTTCTGTGAATTCCGCTATATGAATTAACCTAACAAAAAATACCTGATATTTAAAATCGTATCTTCGGAACGGCTGAGCCGATTGTTAAAAACTTGGGCTAGTTGAAAACAGCTGTTCTTGGGCTACAAATGTTGTAATATTTGAAGTGTTGTTTGTTTCACATATGGCTGCTAGAGAGCTTTTTTCGACATTCCGTCAGAAATGGGTTAATTTTCTCAAGAAAATTAAATACATTGGTATGATTTTTTTTATGAAAAAGTAGCTAAATGATGTCTAAACATGCTCGCGAAAACCGGCTCTCGATATCTTGTTCCTAACCTAAAATTTAAGATACAGAAAATGCTGTACGAAAATCCCTTAAATTTTTATTTGATTTAGTACCTGATCTTTAAAATCGAGGATAATGTGCACTTTTTTGTTTGACAATTTTTGCTGTACTTATCTCTATAAATAAAGTGGTGGGGGGTATTAAAAAGTTTCCGTAAAAAACACCCTGTATCTTCGGAACGGCTGAGCCGATTGTTAACCCGGCGTTGGTACGGTGGGGTATAATATACCCCAACGCACTTTACCTCGTCATAACAGATCATAAATGGCCAGCAGCTTCGCGAGATTTCGTGTATCTTCGGATAAGACCTTAATAATCACTTTGCGATTGTGCATGTACCGATACCGCTACATAAGAATTTTCAATCATACCCCACCGTACACTTTTATTTTTAGTGGCTCCATTCATTTTCCAAGGTGTGTTTTTTTGTAATTTTATTTAATTTGAATTACCTCAGGTATATTTTTAGTATGTCGCACTGGGAAAAAGAGCAAGAGAGGTTACTGAAGCTATGGGAAGCAGTAGGAGCAGAAGACTCTGAAAATGAGCAGCTAGAACAAGAAGCAGCATCTGGATCGGAAGCAGAAGAAAATAATAGTGAAAGGTCTACAAATTCTGATACAGAGCAAGAAATAGGAAGATATACTTCACCTGTCCGAGGCTACAACGTGCACATCAAATGATATATACATGGGAAAAGATGGAGTTACAAAATGGAGCAAAACTTGTGGAAATTTAGCTGTGAAGACAAGAGCTGAAAACATAATTTCTCATTTACCTGGAGTAAAAACAGATTCCAAAAACATCAAAGAGCCATTGCAGATTTGGAAATGTTTTTTACGGAACAAATGCTCTCTGATATTGTAAAATATACCAATGACAAGCTAAATGAAAAAGCAAAAAACCATAGTCGCCCTGATACTCAACATCTCACAAAACATACAACATTGGAAGAACTTCAAGCATTTTTGGGACTTCTATATGTAGCTGGTGTTTTAAAGTCGGCAAGACAAAATTTGGACGACCTATGGTCTACTGATGGTTTGGGAGTTGATATCTTCAGGTCAACAATGTGTAAAAAAAGATTTAGTTTGTTGCTACAATGTTTACGGTTTGACAGAAGTGCAACAAGACCAGAAAGGCGCCAGCTGGATAAGCTTGCACCCATCAGAGCAATTTTTGACAGGTTTGTGGAAAACTCTCTCGCTGTATATACTCCCAGTGAATACGTTACAGTTGACGAAAAGCTTGAAGCATTTAGAGGCAGGTGTTCTTTTCGCCAGTTTATCCTAAACAAACCGGCAAAATATGGAATCAAGATCTTTGCATTGGTAGATGCCCGAACATTCTACGTCTTGAATCAAGAAGTTTATGTTGGCAAGCAGCCATCTGGTCCATTTGAACAAAGTAACAAACCAGAGGATATAGTTTTACGCCTTTGTAAGCCGATTCAAAAGTCTGGACGCAATATAACTTACGACAATTGGTTTGCAAGCTATTCGCTTATGACAAGACTATTGCAAGAATATAAGCTGACTTCGGTCTGTACTCTACGGAAAAATAAAAAAGAAATTCCTGTGCAGTTTTTACAGACTAAACATAGAGCGGAAAAATCATCTATATTTGCATTTCAGAAAAATGTTACACTCGTTTCATATGTTCCCAAAAAAGGAAAAAATGTTCTGCTTCTTTCGAGCCTACACCATTCAGACATGATAGACGAAAGCACAGGAGATGACAAAAAGCCAGAAATTATAACGTTCTACAATTTGACAAAAGGTGGTGTCGACGTTGCAGTAACTATAATGTTTCACGTAATAGTAGAAGGTGGCCCTTGACCATATTTTTTTCGTTATTGAATACAGCATCAATCAACGCTTTTGTGGTATACCTTTCCAATGTTGGAACTCTCTCTATCGAACGTCGCGAATTTATCAAAGAATTGGCACTAAAAATGATTATGCCTCATATGAGAAATCGACAAAACAATCCCAGAATATCTTTATGTCTGAAAAGGAAAATGAACGAAATTACAGGTGCTTCCACTTCTGCAAATATCGTTGATTGTGAGCATCCTGGCAAAAAACAAAGAAAGTCAAAACGATGTTATACATGTGATCGTTCTAAAGACAGGAAATCTTTCTACTGTTGTGCACTCTGCAAAGAATTTGTATGCTTAGAACATTCTATGATAACATGCGAATTATGTTTTGAACAAAACAAAAATAATACATGATATTGTGTTAGTATAGTGCAACTTTTTCATTTCTTAGAATATAATAGCAATGTATGTATTTTAACATTGTCAAACTTTGACCTATTCCAATAAATGTTTGAATATTCATCGAAACACCAAAAAACGTAGTTTTGATGCGATGGTCTCTTACATTCTCCTTTACACATATAAATTTGATAAAAAACAGAAATGGAATAACCTACAACACCTAAATTGCACTCTTGATGGATTTCTCTTTCAATGAATGCTCATACCCCACCGTACCACTAATGTTTGTAAACGCCACCGTACCAACGCCGGGTTAAAAACTGCTAGAGGGCTTTTTTCGACATTCCGTCAGAAATGGGTTAATTTTCTCAAGAAAATTAAATACATTGGTATGATTTTTTATGAAAAAGTAGCTAAATGATGTCTAAACAAGCTCGCGAAAAGCATATCTCGATATCTTGTTCCTAACCTAAAATTCAGGCCACAGAAAATCTGTACGAAAATCCCTTAAATTTTTATTTTTTAAACTAATTTTTCTGGAATTCTTTTTTATTCATAAGAATAAAATCACGCTTTTTGAAAATATTGCAAAGTAATGCTAATAGCAAAAGGCATATTTTTGTGTTTAAATGCATATTCACTAGGGGTCCATACGAAAAAGACAATTAATAGAACCAGGCCCTGGAATACAACAAAACAAATACCTAATCAAAACATAAATTATCGTCAAATTGTCAATAGTTTCGCGTTTCTTTGAGCAATTTTTGTGCTTACCAAATCCGTTTTACGAACGAAGCTGTTGCTATGCTTGCAATTTATTTTAAATGTTTTTAGAATGCCGCAGTAGCAAAAAGAGTTTACGCGACTCGATATCCAAATCGGCGTCTTTGCCATGCGAGAGTTTTTTAACGATTAGTGGCGAACTTATGAGCCTACGTTTCAACGGGAAATAATTGGAAGAACACAAGAAAATATTAACCGCGTACTGGGATATATTGAAAGAAATCCTCATGTCAGCACCAGGACATTATGCCTTGAGTTGAGCATATCACGAACAACGGTTCAAAATATTTTGAAGGACCATAGGTAAGTTCTAATGGCCATCAAAATATAAGGATTTATTTAAATTTAACTATTTTTAATTACCTTTAGAATGCACCCATATCATGTCGTTTTGCATCAGGCCTTGAAACAGGAAGACTTTCATCGGAGGTTGTACTATTGCCATTAGATATTAGGCATTATATGCGAAAATAGTGAATTTTTATTTTAAATTCTTTGGACCGATGAAGCGACCTTTAATAGTGACGGGAGAGATAATCTGCGCAATATGCATTATTGGCCTGCAGAAAATCTGCATTGGTTGTATTAAGTTAAGGGCGTTGGTGTTTAAATGAGTGGTTTGGCATACTGGGAGGCAGAATTATTGGGTTATATTTTTTCAGGAAATCCGTGAACGGCAATGTCTTTATTGACTTTTTGGACAATCAATTACCGTTGTTGTTGGAAGATGTGCCACTGGAAACACGGCAAAACTAGCTTTTGCAGTTGGATGGTTGCACAGCACATTTGGCTATTATTGTGCGAGAGCATATTAATGCAGTGTTTCAACAGAGATGATTAAAAGAGAGGTCTGTTTCTATGGGCTTCGCGATCACCTTGTCTTGATTTTCATTTTTGGGACGGTTAAAGCACATCGTGTTTCAAACGCAACCTACAAACAGAGAAGATATGAAAAACCGGATTCGTAATGCAATACGTAACATAAACAGAGCCGAGATTGAAGCTGCAGCTTGGTCTACCCATGAGAGGCATCAGGAATGCATAGAGCGTGATGGTCAGCATTTCGAGCATTTAAGAAATCTCTCTTTTTTAAATCTGTCCATTTTAGGGACACAACTTAATAATAAAAAGAAATTCCAGAAACATTAGTTTTAAAAAATAAAATTAGCATTTAGCTACTTCTTCATAAAACAATTATACCAATGCATTTTGCCACGCCTTTTATTGGTTAATTAATAAAACACAATGATAAATGCTATCTAACGGTTGGTCCAAGCAAAACAGTTGTCTAGTGACGTGCAAATTTAGGCCCTAGCTCAATAAAGCGGAGAGTAGGGGCGGGTTAAGAGCGCCAGTGACTTAGGACGGATTAAGCCACAACTCCCCGAGATGTTAGTCGGAACTTGTTTTGCTTGACCACCACACAAAAGGAGAATCTAACAGAGATGACGAAATTTAAGTAACAGTACACACAGAGAGAGAGCCAAATAAACAAGATATCAAATGGATCACAATATATTGATTAAAAAGAACAAAACGCACATATGCTCCACCACTGGAGTGCGAGAAAGGATATTAATAAAAACTGTCGCAAAGTAAAATTAGTTGGCGTTTACCATGGTATACGCTTTACATATATGTTTTACGCCTAAACTACACTTATCTGGGCGGAGGTCTTCTCTCAGTTATGGCTAGGCGCAGCCGAGATATATCCCAGGTCAAAAAGAACAAAAAAAAGGAAGCCAGTAGTGGGCACGTCACTGGGCAGGGGCTGCTTGCCTCGGTCCCAAAAATTATGATGGTAACAGGAAAAAACCCTAGAGAGAGAAAGACTGCTTAAAAATCTACTCTACTCTCTGTCTGAGATAAAACTACTCATTAAAAAAAATCGCACTTGAAGCGAAACCATGTACACTTTTTTCGTATAGGAAAAGTAAAGCAAAGGCAAAAAAAAGATTAAAATGTACTGAACTGTTCTAAAAAGTTATGGCAGCTCAAAAATCAAAATCATGATCAATGTAATAGAAGATGCCATGTAGGCATTGCCCCCATATTTGAATACGTAGAATGTCTAATAAAATAAATAGTCTCTAAGAATTTCAATAAGCAATAATAAATGTATCTATGAAATGGTTAATTAGAATGATATTTTACCAGGTCACATCAGGGTTTTTTCAAGGGGATGGCTTCCAATTTGTAAAACTGCAATGATGCAACTGACTGGGGGAGAAAAGACGAGGATTTTCTTCTGTTTCTATTGACAAAAAGAAAGCAGATATTGAATGAACGTCATCAGGACACGCATTAAGGCACGCGGTCCGAAGGTATATAAAAAAGAACTTACCGCTGAGGGTCAAAATCCCATAAAAAAAATGGAAGACGTAGCACCCAAAATAACTAAACTTAAGTCACACAACAAAAAGAAAAGGGTGCTAGTCCGTGAATGGGCGCATGGAGCCTAATATCCCAGAATCCGGAGAACGACAAAAAGGCCCCTGCTCCACGACCTCAACGGAAGCTGAAAAGCGAATCACAGAATACGTAACCTTCTAGAGGAAGGAATCTTGAGTGGCCTTGAAGAAGATATGTTTTATAGGAAGCCAACTAACGGAGAAAAACTGTAGAGTTTTTTGCTGAGAAACAAAGATATACATATTATACGAGTGAACTTACATAATCAATAAACTATTAAATTTGCAAAAAGAAAGTCATTGAAAAGGGGTTTGGCCTAGGAATGGGCACTCTATTAAAAAGCCATCTAGCGACCTCATGTGAAGCTAACAAAACTTCAAATACCATAACATTCGTAGCCCAATCGGCTCAGCCGTTTCGAAGATGGTGTTTTTTACGGAAACCTTTGAATACCCCCACTTTATTTTTAGAGATACAGCAAAAATTCTCAAACACAAAAGGTTCAGATTATCCTCGAATTTAAAGATAAGGTATTTTTTGTTAAGTTAATGTAGTGGAATTCACAGAAACATCACAATTCAGAAACTTGAAAATATTTTCCGGGTTTTTAGTAATAAGTATTTTTGCCGCAAGGCTCTACGATGGATAGATTCCCAGATACAGTACCTCGCATTCATAGTTGGCCACCCTAAACATTCAAAGTGATAAAATTTTGTTAAATAATACAACATACAACGCTTAAATTGTATCTAAAACAAAAACGCACAATCATGAGGACCGACACCGATTACCTGCGGCGAAGTAGTAACGGTGCAGCGGTGAGGCGGATGGCCGATATGTCTTCATATTCTGACTACCGAACGACTACCTTTAAACCACTTAACCTGATTTTTTATAGAGATTATTTCCCATTGTGTGCGTAGTTACTCTGACGCTTATAGTTTTCGAGTTGTTGCAGGAAATTCCGGTCGAGATCACTTTGAAACTTTGTCGTACTAAAGCGGCTTCCATTTTGTTTTCTCGGCAGATTAAATATGGCCCACTCAAAATAATTTCAGACTATCTAGATATCAACATATGGCTTTACCATGACATGTAACTACCAAATCTTTTATATGGGGATTCATACCTACTGAAAATGGCTGATAAGCCCCAGTTTCCGACCGACTGTTCTTCGGCTTCTAACGCCCACAATGCATTTCGCGCTTCCATCTTGAATCTGTCAACTTCTTCAGCGCTCACATTCTTACTAACGTTTAAACTTCTCTCCAATGGATTGACTATATATAATGGACTGAATTCTGGCTTAGTAATAGGTAAAGCTTCGTTGAGACAAACTGCTTTTGTAGAAAAGTCAAACTGAGAATAGTACTGGAAAAATTCTTTCAATAAAGATTCTAGGGTATCTGTATTTGTACTGTTTCTATTGAATTTGGTAATATTCTTGAGACTTGTGCAGTTGATACCATCTTCAGTAATATATTTGTTATTTTTATCTGAAATGAAAAAAAATGCAACTTATCCACCTCTAAAAGATATTCGTCCATGGTGGACATATTTTGTTATAAAGATCCTTGATTGTGGTATAATTTTGACCAACATTTCCAACAAAAAGGGTCTGGTAACAATGGTAATGTGCATTGTAACCGCAGAGTTACCATGGACACGATTCATGTGTCAGTTGCGGAGGAAGCACATACAGCAGTGGTCGCCAACTTTTTCAGTGTGATGAGGTACTTCGATAATTTTGGAATAAACAGTGAGATACCTAGTCGTAAGCAATGTAAGCCAACTCAAATGAAATTATGCAGTTGTATGCGACATACATGTGTTTATTTTACTAATACTAATAAACTTAAATAAACTAATAACTAATACATACTACATTACATCCATTCTTACCAATCGTAGGTGTTTGAAAAATAAACAAAATTTTTCGTCAGCTACAGTGGTATGTCACATATGATTTAATAAAGGTAACTAAATATAAAAAAAGCAACGCACTACCAATCGATAATAATTATCCAAATGTTCATCTATAAGTCGATTACGGTATTTGTTTTTAATAAACTTAATATTTGAAAAAGAAGATTCACACAAATAGGTTGAACTAAATAACGCTTTCACTTTGAAAGCAACATGACATAAAATATTTATCTTTACTTACTGAAAGCCAGATACATTTTGTATTTGAGACTAATGATTTTGAAGCTGAATCATTTTGAAACGCAATCACTCTCATTTCTGTCGTAGCGATATCTTCGCTAAAAGAAGTTGCAAACTGTTGGATATCAATTTCCAGGAAGGGTAAAACAACAAATTGCACCACTATAGCAATTTCGTTGAAATCCTAGAAACGATTTTTGAAGTTATCCTTCAAGTTAGAGACTATTTCTACATGATATTTTCTGTCATATGGTTCTAATGGACTTTGAGATATCTTTTCTGAGCGAACAGAAAAATGCCTGGTATCGCCATCGATAAAGTTTTGTTCCCAAAACTCAAGCTTTTTGAAAAACGCTTTTATATCAGAAATCATTTCTGCTAGTTCTTTGTCTCTACCCTAAAGCTCTCTAAGCCAGATTGAATTTTCCAGTTCCAGAATCGGTTTCATCACGTTGTTTGATAAATTTAACTATGGCAAATATGATATCAAAGAAACGTTTCAGCATTCGTCCCCTACTTAACCAACGGACTTCAGAGTGAAGAAGTAGTTCCTCGTATTGACAGTCAATGTCATCGGCCAAGGTTTTGAATAAACTTCTTTGTAACGCTTGAGCTCTAGTCTTGTTTACAATTTTTACTACCAATTTCATAACTTTGTTTAGTTTTAGAAAATGTCCACATAATGATTGCTGAAGGATAATGCAGTGGTAACAGAGAAATTGCAGAAAACTTTCATCTTTACGACATAACCCCACGAGAACCTTATCACGACCCACCATAGCTGGAGCGACATCGGTGGTCAAGCCTACCGTTTTCAATATTGGAATTTTCTCAGAAGAAATAATATTTTTAAAAGAAGGCCTGCCCAGTAATATGTCCTTTTAGTGGAATAAACTTTAACAGATCTTCTTTATTCGTAAAGTCACTAAAAACCATCCTGACGAACACGGCCATCTAAGAGGTATCAACGACATCTGTGGATTTATCCAGCTGCATTTAAAAATAAGCACAGTTATCGATGTCATTTCTTAACTGTAAAACTATATCACTGCTCATCAATTTTACTGGTCTCATCACTGTATTAGCAGAAAGTTGCATAGATTTTATAGCAGACACTATCTCGTCTTTATTTCTAAAGTTGGCAAATATTGAATCTGCAGCTTCTAAAAACGCCTATTTATTATTTTCCCGTCTTCATAAGGTTTCTTCTTTTGTGTAGTTATCTGGGACACCCGGTATGATGCTGCAGTTGCAGCCGTACTTTTGTCGATTGTTTTTAAAAACATTGTTGTCCAATTAACAGATTTTTTCATTGTTTCAGTTTTCTTTCTGGTTGCAGAACGTAATGGGAATGATTTTTCAAAATTCAAATGTACAGTTTTATAGTGCCTCCCTTTTTTAGCATCGGAAACAGATGTATTACATAACAAACATACAGTTTTACCTTTAACTTCTGTAAATAAATATTGTTCTTCCCATTCGGAATGGAAATGGTATGTCTTCATTTTCTTACTACTGCTCATAATGTTTTTAATTGCAGGCCAACTCTAACCCAACCGCTGGACTTTGTGCCGTTCAGCTTTAAACTGGGCGCACTGTCGCCCCTTGCGTATTTATTCCGATCAAAGTAATCGATCGTTCTCGAACAGATCGCTCACCTCAGTGTTGCGGATGCTTGTGCTTATTATGTGAATTTACAAAATTTACGGAAGCTTCTATGATTTTTACACCTTTTTAAAATATGTTGTGAGCCACCAAAATTGCCTTATCTGGCAGCTCGCGATCGACGGGTTGGCGACCACTGATATACAGGATATTATTTATTCATCTGAACAGAACGTTTTCTATTGTTGGAAAAAAAACACGACAGCTGCATTATTATATTTTGGCAAAAACGCTCGGACACGTCAATTTTGATTTCTAGGGGGATGTCTTTTCATGTATAGCCGTACAATACAGACTGATCCAAAAATAAGATAATGCGTTGCACTTTAGATTTTGAAATGGAAACCTCCATTTTTTTAAATTTTTAGATGTTCTATGAAGTTTTTACTAACTTTTGTATAATAAAGTTTATACCTAACTTCAATCGTTGTGAAGCTATTGAAATTCGACTAACTTAATATGGAAAATGGCAAAAAATAATAATTCAAGAAAGGGTAGAAATAAAACTGTTTGACGAAAATGGGAGCATTGCATGAGCTACTGCCCAGTTGTTTAATGCGTTTCAGACAAAAATATCAACGATAAGTATGTGGCTATGATGATAAGAAAATCTGAAGAAACTGGATCTGTGTCTAATATTCCCCGTAATCGCCATCGATAAAATCGACCAGTTAGAAATGAAGCCGCAGAAGTAGAAGTTTTGGGACACGTAGCACTTGACAACACCCAAAACACTGGTGGACTCACTACTTCTGCAGGATTTACACGTTCAACGGTACAAAGAATTTTGAAAGTCAATAAAGTTCACCCGTACACGATAAAACTTGTCCATGTGCTTAATGAAGACGGTTTTGATGAAGATTGTAGTTTTGCGAATTAATGTCCCAACATTTAATCAAGAATGTGCATGTCGCATGCACACATGTTCCCTCGCCAGAGTCCGTGTGGCCTCTCCCCATTTTCCCCTGAATGTATCCCCCTATAGTCCCTCGGTACCCCATGGGTGTTTAGGCCTTAGGCCTTCGTGGTGGTTGGAGTATAAAAAAAATCCAGACAAAAATATACTCGTATATGTAAAATGCAACACCCATAATTATTTATCGAATTTTGATAAAAACTTGTAAACATATTTGCTATCATGTTTACTTAATACTGAGTAATTTTTATGTCTTGGTTCCATTTGTTTCATTGCATTATCATGCTCAGAGTTCGAAGACGCGATAATTTCACTCATCTTTCCGAGTTTGAGAAGGGGTCGGATAATCGGGTATGTGAAGGAGGATTTTCTTTTAGAGAAATCACTAATCGGGTAAATCGAAACGAAGCTACTCTAATGAGATGTTGTCGAGCGTTATTCCAAGAATGCCGAAATCGACGAGTTAGAGGAACTGGACGTCAAAGACCGACTACAGAGCAACATAATCGTTATTTGAGGCAACTAGCTCTTAGAGATCGATTTACCACAATAAGGTAGTGGCTAACCAGTGGTGTGGTGCTGTAGGAAGGGCAATAACAATAAGTACAGTTTATCGCCGAATAAGGTCTTCTGGACTGTTCATAGCGTTCCTCTCTTGTATTACTTCTGATCCCACAGAATCGTCGGCAACGATTGGTATGGAACAGCGAGAGACTTGAATGGAATATGGAATGGAACTCAGTCGTGTTCAGCGATTGAGTCCAGATTCTGTTTGGGCACGCATGGTAGCCGCGCAAGTGTAAGGAGGAGACGTCGCGATAGACGGAACGACGAATATTCCATCGAACGGCATATTCATCGCACTGTGGGTGTTACGCTATGGGATGCTATTGCTTCCGGCAACAGGTCACGATTAGTGTTCATTCGAGGTAGCATGACTGCCCAGCGGTATATCCACGAAGTTTTACAACCACATCTGCTTCCCTTTTTGGAAACATTCCAAGTTCCACTTACACAGCAGAACAATGCACGACCTCATGTCGCAAGTGTTAGTGTATACTTTTTAGAAGCGTCCGGAGTAAATATGCTTTAGTGGCCTCCTCAATCTCCAGACCTTTCGCCATCGAACACGTATGGGAAGAAGGTTGCAAAATTCACCGCACCCTCCACAAACATTGGAGGCTCTACGAAACCAAATTCAGATGAGATGGCCTGGGATACAATACACCAAGAAGACAGAAATCACCTAATCCAATCAATGCCGCGACGACTTAACGAATCTGTAGCGAACAGAGGAGTTTCAACACATCATTTTAACATTAAGGTGTAGGTAAAATTTTAATCACTTTCTATTTATCAGTAGACCCAAAACTTGTAAAGTATGTTCAAAATTACAGCACTCTTAGTCGGTGTTGCATTTTCTATGTCATTTAGTATATTAACGGTAAGTATGTGGCTAAGTTGATAAGAAAATTTGAATAAACTGGATCTATGTCTAACATTCGCCGTTGAGAAAATCGACCAGTTAGAAATGCCAACACCCAAAGCACTCGTGGACTGGCTACTTCTTCAGGATTTGCTTGCTCAATAGTACAAAGAATTCTGAAAGACAATAAATTTCACCAGTACAAGATGAAACTTGTCCATGAACTTAATGAAGATGATTTTGATACAAAGTTTTGCGAATCTGTTATTTAATATTTGTTTCTCGGAGTACGTTCGATTTACATGGTGCTGTAAATAGACATAATTGTCGATATTGGAGTGACTCGAAATATCCCGAAAAAATAAATGTGTGGGCCGGCATTTTCGGAAATCATATTGTAGGATCTTTCTTTATTTTTGGAAACTTGATAGGCGAGACGTAGTTGGACATGTTAGAAAATACAATAGAGCCACAAATTACCGGAATAATAGAAAATGACGTTAATTACAATAAAAATTACATTCATTTCCAACAAGATGGTGCACCGCTGTACTATGTGGCTTCAGTGCAACAGTTTTTGGACACCCATTTCCCGACTCAGTGGATCGGCGGACGAGACCTCATCGAGTGGCCGCCGAGATCGTCGAACAGAAGTCCTTTAGATTACTTTCTTTGGAGAAATTTGAAAAGTAAAGTATTTAGTACGAAGCCAGATTGCATTAAAGATCTTCGACAGCGGATTACGGCTGAATGTAGACAAATAACTCAAGACACGCTTGAAAATGTGAGGAATAGATTCGAACAAAATCTTTATTATTGCATGAAGGTAAATGGACACCACTTTCAGCACTTATTACCACATTGACCTATCTCTTTATAACAAATTAATTTTTACTTTTTAACTTTAATGTGCATGTAAAATGTAAGTTGATTTTTGTTTTTCAATACTCGGAGACTTGTTTTTAATTTTAAAGTAAAGTCTTGTTCCTATGGGAACTATATTGATTATCATTTTCACAATATAACCCCCTATCATCACAATTTCTAGAATTCTATAAACTCAAATAGCTTCATAACGATTGAAGATACGTATAAACCGTATTATACAAAAGTTACGTACTAAAAACCTCATGGAAAATCTAAAGATTAAAAAAATGGGGGTTTGCATTTAAAAATGTAAAGTGTAACGCAATATCTTATTTTTGGATCACGTTGTATTGTACGGCTATAAATGAAAAGGCGTCCTCTTAGAAATCAAAATTTACGTGTCCGAGCGTGTTTCCCAAAACATACTAGCAGAGACACAAATGGAAGTGCGACCTTTCCGTTGGGCTACCCTGTATATAAATTAATACCACATTTTGTTGCAATACGACAATACTCCGGCACATCACATTCAGCCAGATCGAGGCCACTTCAACCATATACATTCATACAGGTGGATCTGGCACTTCGACCCTGTTTTATCGCTACCAAGATCGCTGGCCCTAAGTCCACTATCTTTTTATTAGAGTTGCTATAGGTACTTTGTATATCAAGCTGAGCTGAACTTGGCAACAAGATTGTATTGCAAAATTAAAGCCACCTTGAGTATGCTAGTGTTTATTCTGACAGGTTGAGATGTTTTATAAAAAAAACTGTTAGCACGTATAATAGCAGATGGTGGTTTGAATTAAAATATTTTTTAACATCAATCATGTCGTTTTTTCCTTTATGTCCTGAAATGGCGTTTTTTTATATTTGCGAAATCTGATAATAGTACATTATAACCGCAATTAAAAGAAAATGACAGCAGAGTGCAAATAACAAAAATTCCATCTAGATATTACCAATAACCAACCAGCTTTGCTTTTTGGACTCATGGGCATGGTGATCATACGTGAATCTCTCACACTACAGGGTGTCAAATGCAGTCGTGAGGACCGGTTTTCAAGTGGAATTAGCGCCATATTAAGAAAAAAACACCTTACACCTACGGGTATATAAGTTTTTAGATAATATGTATATATATATATATATATAATAATAATAACAATGCTGGGTGGGATTGAATACTTAATGTTGAGTATTTTAAAACAAACATGCAACAACGTTAACAGTCACATCGAAATGAAACGAAATTAACTGAACGCAGGCAAGTTTTTCAGAAAAAACTAAAATGCTAAGAATCTCTTTAATAATATAAAATCTTTATATAGTAGGTCATGACGGAACCTAAACTGGTGGATACGAGTAGTTGCTTTGCAACCTGGAAAATTTTACCCAAATTCAAATCTGGATATTTTCGAATGGAAAGAGATATCGAATTGCGGTATTCGAGAGGTTCTTGACCAACTCTTCGAGAACACGTACAGGGTTCGATCGGCATATTTCTTTTACTTATCCACTTATACAGGGTGAGCAAAGGAAGTCATTTTTTGAGCAAAGTTTGGGGCTATGTCAGATTCTCAATTTTTGCTATAACTCTAGTAATCGAATGATTAACTTGGCGCAATAAATGTCTTTCGGCTCTACCTATTTTTTGATTACCCTCTCCATGCAAATAGGACGTTTCTCCGGTTTCATCCTAACTACCTACACCTCAAACATGCTATTGCAATTGTAACAATAATACTGACGGTAGACTTGAAAGTATAATTATATTTTCTCAAAAATGTCTCGAGATAATTGCATTAGATTATTGGGAGAAGGTCGTTTAGTGAATGATGTAGCTTTATTATAATTTTTAAGGCGTAGATATCAGGATACCAGGGAAACGTTCTACATGGAGGAGGTAATCCATAAAAAATACGAGGTCGGGCCGAAAGACATTTATCGCAGAAAGTAAGGCGAAGGCGGGCCCTTTCATCCAGAACCTGGAATAAAAACTTACGGCGGCACAGTGGAATAATAGCATCCAATCGTACTGTGAGAAGTTTAAATTCTAATTTGTTAAGATATGTAAATGTTATAAAAAATTTGCTATGTACTAATTTAAAGTAGCATTTCTTCCAGAGCAAGGCGTCGCGCCAAGTGTACCCGACTCTTGAACAATCATAGAGTCGCCAGGTACCAATGGGCACAGGAGCGGGTAAACTAGCATCAGCAGTGGCAAAATTGCATGTTTTACGATGAAACACACTTCAATCTATACCACTCTTATGCAGAAAACACGGCCCCACAAGAGGAGTTTGGTGGAGGTGGCATCACTGTTTAGGCTGGGGTCATGCACAATTGGTAAAATCGAACCGTTTATTTCAAACAGGACAGTCAACGCTCTTGTACCTTTTTCACAAGATTTTGGGGTGGATTTTGTTTTCATCGATGATAACGCCAGACAGAGCTCGTACGGTTATAAACTTTTTGGGAGAAAAAAATGTTACATTATTGTCTCTGCCATCAAAGTCTCCAGACCTAAATATAATTGAGCGTGCGAGGTCTCGGCTAAAATTTTTAGTGCGCTCAAGATAAAATGCTCATACAATGGAACTGTCTGAGGCCATTCAGTAAGAGTGGGAAAACGTATCCCGAGAATTAATTAACCTTCGGGAAAGTATGCCACGAAGATACCAGGCTGCGATCTATGTGCGGGGTGGCCTTACAAGGTACTAACAATATTGTTTAAAATACCTGCTGCGGTTTTGTAAAACGTTCGTTTTTGTCATAAATAAATAATTTAGGTATTTAACATGTCTTCAAATTATAATTTTCTAAAATGTTACATATTGTTAATGTTAATCAATAAATGTTTGAAAATTTAATAGAGTCCTATTAGAAAACATCTCCAATGAAGATGCGTACGCCAATGTTGAATGAGAAACATAAAAAATTCCAGATAGAAGATGAATAGCAGTCTTGGCCAGCATCATATCATTTTGAAAACAAACATTTTTAAGTTTTTATCACTTCTTACCAAACCCAAAAGTGCTTTTGGTGTTACGCCACTGGAATACACCCCTATATTTAGAGTAGTAACTTGGATTTGTCTATTAAGCTGTTAAATTGCATATTAAAATTTCTAAATTCGGTTTAAATTACATAATGTCAGAGTACCAATTACTGCACGTCGCTGGATGCAATAACGTTCAATGAGTGCTTGAATCTTCTCTCGGGCGCAAGAAATTCCATTTTATGCAACAGTATGAGAAAAAATACCCATTCTCAAGAGAAACCCCCCAAAAATTACCCTTTTTAGGGATAAATGTTACACTTATTTAAAATTCGATAATTTAAGTCAGCCAACTTTCGAAAATTTTGACAAATCACTTTTTTCAGGATAGTCAAAAGAAGCAACGAAAAATTTCCAATCAAAAATTGACAATCTCACATAACCTCAAACTTTGCTAAAAAACCTTCCTTTGCTCACCCTGTATAACTGGATAACTGAAAGAAATATACCGCTCGAGCCCTTTACGTGTTCTCAAAGAGTTGGTCAAGAACCTCCCTAATACCGCAACTCGATATCTCTTTCCGTTCCGAAAATATCGAACCTATCCACCAGTTTATTTGCAACTGCAGGATTTTCCTTCCAATTTCTGGACACCATGTATGTATATACAAACCTGCTAATTTTATCAACGTATTCAAAGATGGTAAGATAGGTTGTCCACTTAACGGTACTCTGAAGAAAAGCAAGTACCATTAGGGTCAATGAGAAATTTGTTATCCATCGTCCTGGCGAGGAATTTGTAATGCCCACTAATTCTGCCCATTTTCTCACTGTAAACACTAACGGTTTCACTCTTTGGTCTATTTCTCCCATAAGATACAGGAATTCGGACATGTAAACGCCAGACCTAAAAACGAAAGCAATGAGAATGATTCAGTATAATGCAGTCCATCTGTAGGTGAAAATCTGTAAGGATGTATGATGAATTTTTACAGTTAATTCCTTAGATAGTGTGAAGGCCAAACCTTAGTTTTTCTCTTTCTAGGGGGTTGTCACTTTGTTTAACCCTTTTCGGTTTGATTTATTTTTATTATACAGGGTGTGAAAAATAGACGGAGATATTTTAGGAGGCGATTCCTTGTTAAACATATGAAAAAAGTTTCTATAAACATGGGTCCGGAAATGCAGACTTTGCAAGATACAGGGTGATAAATTTAAAAAAAAAAATATATATATATATATATATATATATATATATATATATGTATATCAATATCCCAAAAAATATTTACTTGATTCTGTTGAAATTTGGCAGTATGGTTCGTTGTAGCCTTTTAGCCTTAAATAGATTAAAATTATTAGGTCTAGTGACGTCCCGGGGGGCACCTTGTCGAATATTATTGGCAAAAAATGTACGCGACGGCCTTTTTGTATTTTTAATATTTGTTGTTTAAGCATCTAAAAATACAACTTATTTGCCTCTTGAACTTTTTTCGTATCTCACTTCGTTTGTTTGGTTTATTAATTTTTACTAAAAAAATCACAAGTGTCTTGGAAAACAAAAAATCATTTCTGCATGGAGATTTGATATTTGCGCGTCAGTTATTCTAGAAAAGAATTATTCTCGTAATTTTCTTTGCAAAATTTCTCTAAAAAGCTTTGGTCTCGGTGTTTGTGATGGAAAATTAAAATTTTGTGAAAATGGCAGACATGCAGGTAATGTATGCACGTGCTTATAGTAACTGTTACGCAGCGATGCGCCTGTATGCAGAAGCGTTTCCCCATCGGCAACTTACAGATAGTAAAACCTATGAAAGCGTAGATCGTAGATTACGGGAAAGACGTAAATTTTCTTACTTTATTTTCGTGATGTTTTTGACAATAATGTTATTTAGGAAGTTGTGCCATTCCCACCAATGATAGAGGCCGGCCGAGGTCCGTAAGAACGCCTGAGTTTGACAAGGCAGATTTACGTGCCGTGGAACAAAATCCTGGTATCAGTACCAGGACTATAGCAACTTGATTAGGCGATAATCATTCAAACAGCATTGTGTGGCAGGTTCTCACCGAGTAACTTTTGTATCCCTATCATATCCAACGTGTGCAAGCGTTATTACCAAGAGATTTTCTACCTCGTTTACAGTTCTTCCAATGGTAATAACAAGAGGCTAATAATGATAGGAATTTTATAAAACCATACTTTTTACGAACAAAGCAGGATTTCGGCAGGTTGGTATTGTTAATTACCATAAAACTCATGTATGGAGTGTCGAAAATCCTCATGCACACGTACAATGTCGCCACCAGGAACAATTTTCTTTAAATGTGTGGATGGGTATTGTTGGTGACAATTTAACTGGTACTTTCTTTTTACCCTTAAGATTAAAGGGCGAATCTTACTTAGAGTTTCTTCAACAAGAATTGCCCTTAACTGCTACAAGAAGTTCCTCTGAATGTACGAAATCAAATAACTTTTATGCACGATGGAGCTCCACCTCATTTTTGGAAATACCTGTTGGAACTCATTTGGATAACACCTTTGGTGAAAATTGGCTTGGAAGAGGTGGATCAATTCACCGGCCACCTCGCTCCGCTGACAAATCCAATAGATTTTTATTTATGGGGACACCTTCAGACGATGGCTTACGCTACTCACATAGAAACAGTAGAAGAATTAAGAAATGAAATCGTAAATGCTTGAGAAGGTGTACAGAAATGGATGGTGGACATTTCCAACATTCGTTGTAGTGTACTTCATGTCATGGTACCTATTGGAAAAGTTGCAATAACACTCTTTCATAGACATTTTTCAATTTTTCCAATGCACTTGTGACTTTTTAGCAAAAATTAATAAACAAATTTTGTCCAGTGACATGCAATAAAACTGTTTTTATTTTTTTTTCTCGGAAACGAAGTGAAATACAAAAAAATACGAGAAGCAAAAAGTTTTATTTTTAAATGGTTAATCAAACAACAAAAAATATTATAGTTAGAAAAAAGGCAGTGGCGTGAATTTTTTGCCAATAATATTCGCTAAGGTGCCCCCCAGGACGGCACTGGACGTAATAATTTTAATCTATTTAGTGCCAAATTTCAGCAGAATCGAGTAAATATTTTTTAAGATATTAATATTTTTGTTAACTTATCACCCTGTATCTTGAAAACTCTGCATTTCCGGACCCATCTTTATAGACACTTTTTATCATACTTTTTTAAAATATGTCCGTCTATTTTTCGAACTCCCTGTATAATAATTCATTTTATACTATAAATTATTAGGTATACTATATATAGTACTAGTGAATATAAAATGATACTTTAAATGTCATACAGTAGCTACCCTCAATAGTACGCAGCCGGTTATCATGGGTGTATAAATGGCAACGCCAGCTTGATTATTCCTGTCTAATGAAATTATTCGACCTGTAACCTACACTCCGCATCCCCGATCAACCAAATCAGACAGTATTCGGACCGGTAACACCATTAACTAAGGCATTCTCACCAGATAACACAAGAGGCCGTTTGTCACACTACGAAATTTTGTGGTAAATTTAGTACGCTAAATTGCGTACAAAATTAAGGACAGTGTCAGACAGCATTTAGTACATAATTTTGTGTGAACAAATTTAGTGCTAAATTTTTGAGAACCTGTTCTAAATAATATCAGACTAAAAGTGGTCAGATGACTACTGCGCATTTGGAGCAGCTGAAATAGCATTTTTGGGGTACGTAGCACTTGACAACACCCAAAGCACTCGCAACTGGCTACTTCAGGGTTTACACGCTCAACAGTACAAAGGATTTTGAAAGACAATAATTTCACCCGTACAAGATAAAACTTGTCCATGAGCTTAATGTAGTCGATTTTGATAAAAGGTTGCAGTTTTGCGAATTAATGTCCCAACGTTTAACCAACAACGCAAATCTGTTATTTAATATTTTTTTCTCTAATCAGTGTACGTTCTATTTACGTACTGCTGTAATCAGACTTAATTACCGATATTGGGGTGACTCGAATCAACATTTTTTTCGAAAGATACACTCACAATATCTTGAAAAAATAAATGTGTGGGCGGGCATTTTCGGAAATCGTATTGTAGGACCTTTCTTTATTCCTGGAAACTTAGCGGCCAAGATGTACTTGGACATGTTAGAAAATAAAATAGATCCACGAATTACCGAACGATTAGAAAATGACGTTAATAATTTTGAAAAATAGATTCATTTCCAACAAGATGGTGTACCCCCGCACTATGTGGCTCCAGTACGACAGTTTTAGGGATGCGACCTTTCCGTTGGGTCACCATATATGTGAGTAATTGATGAAATTTATATCAATTCATGGAAAGCACGAAGTAAATCTACTTGATTTTATTTTTAACTAATATATTCCATATATGATCATAGCTTTCTTTTTCAGTTTAATTTTCTTCAAGACCTGTGTCCAGAATAATTACATCGCAGAGGTGTTACCAGAGAGAAGCAGTTTACTCCAAAGGTCTGGAAGTTATATAGGGTGTTCTATGAGAAAATTGACATAGTGAAATGCTCGCTAGTGTGGACCGAGACGGAAATACAAGATTTATCTAGACACGCTAAATTGTTAATATCATATAACTGGGTCATTATTAAACTTGTATTGATGAAAATTAAAAAAATCAAGGGCGGACTTGATGTTATCAAAATTAGCACATTTTAAGCTATGAAATGTTTGGTGAGGTACAAAAAAAGCTGATGAATTGTGATTATAGATTAGCAAATTTCGAAATTAGATCGATTGTGCTTCTACTGTTTTTTTTTATTTTGTTTAAATTGATTATTATTAAAATATCTTATTTATACTAAATAAAGAGTGGCCTATCAGTTGTTTTTTTTAATTTGGTATCATTTTGACAGTTGGTAACACTTCCATGCTCAACATATTGACAGATATATTGTGTCAAACTTCCGCTGCGAGCAATGGATCGTTTTAATCTTGAATAAAGGTGGGAAATATGGAAAAACTATTTTCAAAGTGAGTGCTGTGTTGCAGAAACTTTGCGAAAATTGAGAAGACTATGTGGTCGCAAAGAAGCTCCGTCCGCGACTGGTATACGAAAATTCGTGAAACTGGCCAGCTTGTGGATAACAGACGGTATGAGCATGTTCGACCCGTACTCACAGCCGCTGCTGTTGCCCAGAGTGTGCGTGAAAACGCAAGAATGTCATCTCGTCACACAGCACAACAAGTGGGCATCAGTCGCACTTCTGTGCGGAGAATATTGTATAACGACCTGGGATTATTTCCTTACAAGGTGCAACTTGTGCAAGAGTTGAAACAAAATGACCATCCGCTTCGATATCGTTTCTCTGTGTGGGCTCTAAATCAATTGGAAAGTGACGTCAATTTTGGTGGCCAAATAATCTTTTCGGACGAAGCCCATTTCCATCTGGGAGGTTACGTGAACAAGCAGAACTGGACGATTTGGGGTTCTGAAAATCCACATGTCATAAAAAAACCAATGCATCCAAAAAGAGTAACTGTTTTTTTGTGGCTTTTGGAGTGGTGGGATTATTGGTCCCTACTTTTTTCAAGATGAAGATGGTAACAGCGTGACGGTAAACGGGGAACGCTACAGAGACACGTTGAGGAGTTTTTTGTGGCCAATATTAGACGACATGAACTTGTACAATATCTGGTTCCAGCAGGATGGCGTAACATGCCACACTAGCCGTGAAACCATCGATCTTTTACACACTAAGTTCGGTCATCGCGTTATTAGCCGTTTTGGAGACGTTCACTGGCCAGCCCGCAGCTGTGATTTGACGCCCATGGATTTCTTCCTATGGGGTACTGTTAAGGACCGTTGGTACACTAACGATCCTCAAACAATTGATGTTCTTAAGGAAAATATCCGTCGATTGATGAAATAGACCGAGAAACTATGGAAAATGTGCTTGAAAATTGGGTTAAGTGCCGTATCGTCAGTCATTCCTACAACTGTAGGACGCCTTTAGGGCCTCGTTGATTTTCACAGTTTTCTACTATTCCGTGTCAGCGCTCTATTTTGAGGTTCATACTTTAATGATTTATATCATGTTTTATCAGCCTGAAGTCTCATACAATTTAAAAAGAAAACATAACTTCACAATAGGAGAGGTGTATTCTTTTGGATAAAGTATCCAGTGTTACATATTATTGAAGAGTGTAGTTTTAATACCAATTTAAAAAAGAAACGAATGGATGGCCCACCCTTTACTAATTCATATTTCCCATTAAAGCAAAACTAAGGTTGTACATCAGTTGGTAGAATCAAATCAATAAATCATGAACGAAAAACTAATTAGGATACATTAACATAATTTTTGCTTTCTATTTGTATCATTTATTGTTATTTTTTCTGCGTAATAATACTTAATTCGGAGTAGTAAGTTACACGGCATTGCACTTAATACAATACAAAAAAATAAACGAATGAATTCGGCCCTAGAATTTCGAGTTTCTAAAACTCTAGATCAATTTTGTGAAATGTTGATATAATCAGGTGGTAACATTTGAACTGTTGAGTTTTGTGTCAAATAAACTGATAGAATATAATTTTATAAATATGGTGGTATTACATAGCTTTTTATAGGTATACTACATTATAATGAAGCACCTACCAAGTTCAGTCATCGCGTTATTAGCCGTTTTGGAGACGTTCATTGGCCAGCCCGCAGCTGTGATTTGACGCCCATGGATTACTTCCTATGGGGTACTGTTAAGGACCGCTGGTACACTAACGATCCTCAAACAATTGATGTTCTTAAGGAAAATATCCGTCTATTGATGAAATAGACCCAGAAACTATCGAAAATGTGCTTCAAAATTGGGTTAAGTGCCGTATCGTCAGTCATTCCTACAACTGTAGGACGCCTTTAGGGCCTCCTTGATTTTCACAGTTTTCTACTATTCCGTGTCAGCGCTCTATTTTGAGGTTCATACTTTAATGATTTATATCATGTTTTATCAGCCTGAAGTCTCATACAATTTAAAAAGAAAACATAACTTCACAATAGGAGAGGTGTATTCTTTTGGATAAAGTATCCAGTGTTACATATTATTGAAGAGTGTAGTTTTAATACCAATTTAAAAAAGAAACGAATGGATGGCCCACCCTTTACTAATTCATATTTCCCATTAAAGCAAAACTAAGGTTGTACATCAGTTGGTAGAATCAAATCAATAAATCATGAACGAAAAACTAATTAGGATACATTAACATAATTTTTGCTTTCCATTTGTATCATTTATTGTAATTTTTTCTGCGTAATAATACTTAATTCGGAGTAGTAAGTTACACGGCATTGCACTTAATACAATACAAAAAAATAAACGAATGAATTCGGCCCTAGAATTTCGAGTTTCTAAAACTCTAGATCAATTTTGTGAAATGTTGATATAATCAGGTGGTAACATTTGAACTGTTGAGTTTTGTGTCAAATAAACTGATATAATATAATTTTATAAATATGGTGGTATTACATAGCTTTTATAGGTATACTACATTATAATGAAGCACCTACCTAATTTAATAGCAGTGTTTAATCAAAATAAAAAAAATATTGTATGTGAATTATTTAAGTAAATATTAGCAACATTTATTAGTACATAATCGATAGCTGCTTAGTTGAATGTGTCTAAAATTTCAATGTTTAACTATTTATTATAATGTATAGCAGGGCTGTCCAACATACGGCCCGCGAACTCCTTTCTTGCGGCCCGCTTCACGGGTCATGTATACATCACATGTATAAATTACTCAAATACCGAATATGCACAATTCTTACATTAACTCAGTAATAATGTTGTATAGAAAGATTTTATAATCCGGCCCTCCAAACTGCTTTTTCTTTTGAAGTGGCCCTTGGGCCACATTAAGTTGGACAGCCCTGATGTATAGTTTACATTGTTTTAGAAAAGATGTTGAGTCCTGATGTTTCTGATATGTGGGGGTATTTCATATATGTTTTAACAAGATATATGTGAAATAACGTTGAATTAGATTTCTATAAATCATTGGTATTGAAAGGTATCCGAGCTCTTCTACGCCTCGTGTGAGGTTGATGAGTTATAAATGTCCTTTTTTTATTTTATGAACATATATACGTATAGACAGGGTGTTCCTTAATGATATGCGAATATTTAAGGGTGTGAATCTACATGAAAAATTAATGTTAGTTTGCTTTATAAACTATGGTCCAAAAATGTTTCCTTACAAAAACTCGGGGTGTTTTAGGAAAAAAAATGGAAATTAATTAATATTTTCAGAACCGCTTCAGATATTTCACTGATATTTAGTACGTAGTGAAAGTTCAAGTTGCATATTGTTCAATGCAAAAATAATTTTTAGCTTTAACAGTGGCGTGCGTACGGGTATTGACTTCGATATTTTTTAACGAAAAAATGATACGCCAATGGTTTTTTGCCAAATAAAAAATATTTTTCAATTCCCCGTTCAATTTAAAACACATGATCTCTTTTGAATTGTTTTCCTTCGATGCGCCATTTTTGAGTAAACAAATAAAAACCGTTCTATTGTCCGAGAAAATTAATGCAATAATAATTGAAGAATGCAATTTAGCAATAAATATCTAGTTGCTCTGGAATATGTCACTGGCTTTTGACATCTGACAAGTCATCTTTTTCATTAATTAGTTTTTACAATCTTTTTAATAATGGTGAATTATTCAAATGCAGAAATGGCGGAAATGCATTACATATATGGCCTTGCCGACGGTAATGGTGAGCAAGCCAGACGGATTTATCGCCAGAGATATCCTGATCGTGCCAGATAGTCGAACCTTTTCTAATATTCATCGTCGTCTTGTTGAAACTGGTTCTGTCCGAAAAGGAACATCTGAAGGTAGACCTCCAAGGGTGAGAACACCTGAAATTGAGGAAGCAGTGCTGCACGAAGTCGAAGAACATCCTGAAACGAGTACGAGGAAGATCGCTAAACACTTAAATATTTGACATCAAATTGTTTTTAGAATTTTAGTTGATTTTTTGTCATATCCTTACCATATTTTCAGAGTACAGGCATTACTTCCCATTGATTTTCCAAGGCGTGTGACTTTTTATCAGTGGTATCTTCAAAAAATTACACAAAATCCGCAATTTGAATCAAATTTTTTTTTATATATTCCAACTACCACGAAAGCCTAAGGCCTAAACACCCATTGGGCACCGTGGGGCTATAGGGGGATACAGGGGAAAGGGGGAACGCCACACGGACTCTGGCGAGGGAACACGTGTGCATGCAACATGCACACATTCTGGCTCCGCCTACGAGATCCGGCGGGTGGTACCTCCACGTTCGACAGTCAGAGACCGTCTACCACCTACGGAGACAATGATTCTGTTCACGGACGAAGCTAATTTTTTTCAAAATACCATTTAGTATTTCCACAATAATCATTTGTTTGCAGAAGAAAATCCCTATGCCCTAACCAAAACCCATTTCCAACACCAATTTTCGGTTAAAGTATGGGCAGGAAATATTGGCAACCACTTTATTGGCCCATTCTTCTTGCCGGGACGACTTGACGGACAGACTTACCTCAATTTTCTTCAACAACAGTTGCCTTTGCTGCTTGATGTTCCATTAGTAATAAGAAACAATATGTGGTACATGCATGATGATGCACCAGTGCATTTCAGTGTAGCGGTTCGTAATTACTTAAAAACTTTATCAAAATCGTTGGATTCGCCGCGGTGGTGTTGTTGTTCATTACCCCTAATGTGTTTAATTTTTCCATTAAATTATTAATAATTTTGCAAGTTAGACAATGTAACGGTTTTTATTTGTTACTCAAAAATGGCGCATCGAAGGAAAACAATTCAAGAGAGATCATTTGTTTTAAATTGAACGGAGAATTCAAAAATTATGGCAAAAAAACATTGGCGTACTATTTTTTTCTTAAAAATATCAAAGTCAATACCCATACGCACGCCACTGCTAAATATTATTTTTGCATTGAAAAATATGCAACTTTATTAACTTTCACTACGTATATCAGTGAAATATATGAAGCGGTTCTGAAAATATTAATTAATTTCCATTTTTTTCCTAAAACTTCAACACCCTGAGTTTTTGTAAGGAAACATTCTTGAACCATAGTTTATAAAGCAAACTAAAATTAATTTTTCATGGAGATTCACACCCTTAAATATTCGCATATCATTAAAGAACACCGGTATATGCAAACATCAGGTACGTATAAAGACATAACATTAAATACTTCTTTATTAAATTACGCAAGCTAAGTCATATATTCTCTAATTTGAATGCTAGTTTGCTTTTTATAGTATATATTATGGTATTTTAACACATTCCACTAATTATCTCAAAAAGCTATTCAGTCAAAAGAGTTCCGAGGTTACACTACGTGTAACATCCGAGAAACATAAGTTGATTTCAATTTTTTTTTTACGATTACAATACTGCCGTGTCGTATTGGCATGAGAAGTAAAAGGAAGTAAGAGAGGGTTAATTTTATGATGCAAAAAGGAACTTACATATTTCCTATCGATAAATCACATTCCACATCAGTCAGCTGTTGGTGATATTTTATAATAGGAATTCTAGCCTGCACTATCCTTCTTACTTGTACACATCCAGGAAGAAACAAGTGAATCATGTCACCAAATGCTTCTATATGCCGTTGGTTTGTAGATCTCTCCGACCCATTGGAAACCTTGCAATGGAACATCAGTCTGCTCTCTTCGGAACTCTAAAAAATATCAAAAGGCATATTATGCTTCACTAAGTTGAAACAGTAAAGTAAGTACATCACAGTGCAAACGAAATATTCGAATACAATATTTCTTATGGGTTAACTGAAACCAAAACATATCTTATCCTTTTCAATAATAATGACAACAGTTATAAATGGCATTTCAAATTCTGTTTTTTATGAACAAGTAGTTAAATGATGTCTAAACAAGCTCGCGAAAACCGCATCTCGATATTTTGTTCTCAACCTAGAATTTGCGCCAAAGAACATTTTATACGGAAATCCCTTAAATTTTTATTTGTCGAAACTAATTTTTCTGGAATCTCTTTTTATAATTAAGTTGTGGATCTAATAAGGACCGATTTAAAAAAGAATGGTTTTTAATGCTCCCTTAAATGCTCGAAATGCTGTCCATCACGATCTAGGCATTCCTGAAGCCTCTCATGGATGGTCAAAACTGCAACTGCACTACGAATCCGGTTTTTCATATCTTCTCTGGTTGTAGGTTGACTCTGAAACACGATGTCGTTCAACCGTCCCCATAAATAAAAATCAAGACAAGTTAAGTCTGGTGATCGCGAAGGCCATGGAAACAGACTTCCTCTTCCAATTCCTTTATACCTCCATTGTTTGAGTCCGGAGTGGAGAATCAATCAGAACTTGCATCCTCTCAAACTCACAAATTCAGGCCACTTTAGGGGCTGATCCAGGCTCTTCTCTTCCTCAGGAGATTCCATTGGATAAGAAATTAGTTTCACGTTGGTCAAAGTATATTACTTTAGGATTAGACAGAGAGACCAAGTGATCAGATTCCGAATGCGTGGGATTTACCTAAAAATGTTCCAGCTCTCAACGCACCTAAACTTAACTCGGACACTAAATGTTTTTCCTCTTCAGAGGGTTTAAAGAAAGATTCTTATGTGAAGCATATTCAGGTATTTGCTTACCTAATAAACCTCCATGTTTTTCTGGCCGCTAAATGAAGCCACATATGTAGGATTGGCTGTTTACCAACGTTCGGCCACCTCAGAGGCCCTTTTTCAAATTACAAAGTTATCAAGTACCTTTGATACATCATCGGTTGCTACAGAAAGTTTGTCATCAGCAATGCCGTGGATCGGATTGATTGTAAAGGGAAGGAGGCCGTTGATATGTAAGAGGAACCATATTTGAGCCAAGACCGATCCCTGGGGAACACCTACATTGACATTGTGGGGTGAAGACGAGAACCCGTTAATTGCGACGGATATCTTGCGGTCAGAGAGAAAGTCAGCCATCAATCTGCCAAGCTTCGCTGGGATGCCATAGGATGGAAGTTTACATAAGAGGTCAGCCTGCCACAGCTGATCGAACACTTTCTGTGATATCAAGAGCAATGACATGGTCCCCACCATAAAACTGGGTGAGTTTACTCCACAGTTGCGTGAAGTAAGCTAGGAAGTCCCCTGTGGATCGCTGGTCTCGGAAACCATACTGCCTGTCGCTAATCAAGTCGTAACGTTCGAGATATTCCAGAAGGTCCGATTTATGCACCTCCCCATCACCTTACTCATAATAGAAAGCAGGCCTGTAGTTGTAAGGGTCGGTCTTAGATCCTTTTTTGGGATAGGCTGGACATATCTGGAAGATATGCGAAATAACTGGAACAAGCTACGCTGCGCATCTCTCCAGTACAACGGCAGGAATCAAGTCCGGACCAGTCTAAGTTCTTGAAGGATAATAGAGAATGAAAATCCTGTACGACTATCTGGAATGGGCAGGAGGATTACTTTGTACGGAGGCATGTATTCCTAGACCCCAACTGGATAATTTCTGATATTGACGAACAGGCAGCCGACATACATAAACCAGTCAGCGAAACAAACATACAGGTATATCCAACAAAAGGTAGAGAAAAGGTCTCAGAGTCCTTTCCATTCAGCATGTTCTAATGCCAAATTTTGCGGTCTGGGCGAGTTTCTGCTGCCACTGCCAGTTCTGACCGAAACCTGCAAGCATGGCGGGACAATTAGACTGCAGAGAGCGGTGAATAGTATCAATATTGCTGTAAATTCCTCAGATGATCGCGAAAGGGATTTTATCATCGATGTCGTTTTCGCGAGCCCACCCTCCACCCGGATATTCCAAGAGTGGACTAGGTTTATGTCCGGAATTCTTAGAACGCGAGATCCATCATCATTCATTTCTTGTTGTGAAGGGAAAGGAAAGAAAACCTTATCATTTTGTGTCAGATTTCTCTAACCCATGCAAGGCTGTGAAGAAAGTCAGCAGGGATTTCAGGTTTTTGACAAAGCGACCTTCCTGCTCTTCTTTAAAATGGAAGCACCAACAGAGCAGAGAGAGGATGAAAACACAATCCCACTCCTCCAGAAGGAGCATATCCAAGATTTCCAAAACAGGTCACCAAACCAGGGGCTTGCTGGAGTGGAGGACAGGAAGCAAAATTACAACAAATAGAGGTACGATATTCTGTTGAGAACAGGGTACAAGCAATCCGGTAATTTTGGAAGCCAAAAGAGCTTATCGAATTCGTTTTCAGAGTAAAGAATATCAAATATTTGAGTCCGCTGTGACTCGTATAAATAGCAGAGATTCAGAGATTGCTATTAAATATTTGATTGAAATAGGTGCTGTATATTCTTGTAAGTCTAATAGAAAGGGTTTTCCATAACAGTTTTTCTTTGTCCAAAAAACCGATGGCGGTGCTTTTATTATTGTTGACTGAAATTCTTAGAGTGTACTTGATTTTGTTTGGCCTTTTCGAGTTCAAATGCGGGACAGGGCCTACATTGGCACCGTCTAATGATCTTACTCCATTGCATTTTTACTTTTAACAATGTACATGGTTTTTCATTTTCGCGTGTTTTAATGAGTAGTTTTGTCTCACAGAGAATAGAGAGTAGATTTTTAAGCAGTCTTTCTCTCTCTAGGATTTTTTCACAAAGTAAATTTTGAATATGAGGCAAGCAGCCCATACCTAGGGAGAAACACTCCACCATTTCCTTTTGTTTATAAAAAAAGGCGTGGCACAAGTCATTTGATCTTTAAGAATAATGTCGATAAAGATCATGATGATGATGAATTATCATCGTTACCATTAGACGATAGCGAAGAGGGTGAAGATGACGATAAGAATGAAGAGGACGACAATGGCGATAATGATAATGTCAGGAGCGTTCAATAGTGCCATGTGAATAAGCTATTACATGTTTTGGAAGGAAAATAATTCCTTCCGGAATATGTGACAGTTAGGTCCTAAAGTCACTTCAGGACAAATTTATGCGTATCAAGAGTTTTTTCAGTTAATTATTCAATAATTCCCATGATCTATCGACGAAATATTCATGATCTAGTTGCGTTTCAATATCCCGTTATAGGGATTCCTCCAACAGCTATATTCAAATCAATCCATGAAGCGATTTATCAACTTGCCCCAAAAAACTCCTAGATAAAAATCCTCTCATTAAGGTAGCACAACTCATTGCCGTTCATTCCTGTCAAACTTTACCGGTATTTTATCATTTTTTTCACTACCCACTGGCACACATCCGTGAGGATGGGCTCCAAATGACAATAAGGATAGCGACACTAATTACGATCACGAAGATGATGTTTCAATGATAATGACAAATAATATACTCAGTGCCATTAGAAGTGTTACACCCAGAAAAAACAATTTCTTCAACTTGATGTTTTGGCAATGAGGTAGTTTTACATCAAGAATGAAAGTATGAAATTTTATTGACAATAAGAAAATAAAATTAATAATGAGTTGGGCGACCCCTCAGCTGAATACAGTTCTTTATCCGTTCTCCACGGAGGCGTCTTACCCTTCCACGACCATCATGTGTACCTAGTCAGAATCGCGATTCGTCGATGAAGATGACATTATGCCATTCTACCTCCCAATGTTGCCGTTCTCTGCTCCAGTTCAAACGTTGACGACAGTAATCCGCAGTCAGAGGAAGCACTAACCGTGTGCGATATGAAAAAGTCTAAAGGCTCGATGCCTTCTTCTCCAAACCACTGGTCAGCAATCTGACGCGTAGCAGCAAAACGGTCTCGTAGGGCTAGTGTCTGAAGCGCCTAGCTTGACGCTCTTTGGTACGCCTCGGTGGACCAATTGGTCTTCTTCGTGTTCCTCTACCTTCTATCCACACACGCATTACCGTCATTGCAGTACAATTAACACGGCGGCCAATTTCGCGATAGGACAAATCAACATCTCGATAGGCAATAATTCTACACCTGTCAAAGTCGCTAAGATGGTGATAATGATTTGGTTACGCTTAACACTAGTAAATGAAACTGCTTTCTTCACGGAAACTAACAGATAACATTTTAACAAAGGTAAACAGAGATAAAACGTTGAAATTGTTGCCACAGCATGTTTTAAATATAGTCATTATGTTGCCAAAAAAACAAGTTGATGAAATTATTTTTTCTGGGTGTTACACTTCTAATGTCACTGAGAATACATTCATATTATTTTCTTACCTTTTTATCAACAAGCCTTAGAACTAGATCTAAATCACATCCCATTTTTCCATAACCATTTACACTAGAACCAAACGGATAAGCTTGAGCATGCGGGAACATTCCTGATACCATATTATCTATTTGTAACACTGTGAGATACCTCAGCCTCGAGCCCAGGTAATTCAATTTGGTTAACGAATACAGTAACTTCATTTGTTCTGATATCTTAAAGGACACTAAATTAATTAATGCAAAAAGTACTAAAACCATGATTACGCTTACATTTTCACACTGTCTCAGTGAACTAATGATTTCGTGGTCACTTAAAATCCTAGTTCCATTTTCGATAGACAAAACAGCGCCATCGATTTGTCTCACCTTCGGAGACTTCTTGTTTTGGGCCTTGAACCATAGAAAGTTGTGAATATGTTGGAACAATTAGTGTTTCGTCAACATACGAGGTATTTTTCAGGAGATTTTGGACTTCAGATTGTTCCTCAAATTCGACAAGAATGAAATGCTGAAAAAAACAATGACAGTAAAAAGAAATTAAGACATATACATAAATTGATAGTTTAGGAGGCTTACTATTTTTCAAAAACGTTAGTTTAAATTTCTAAAGGTGCCATACTTGAAAATAGGACATATACTTTAAAAAGTTATATAAACATGAAAAATAGCGTTAGGTGGGTTAAAGGACTATGTTCTGCACAAGTCAGACTCTCTGAGAAAAAAGTTATTCACGAACATGTGTAACAGAGACATTAAACGGATCTTGTCAGTCAAATAGGTCTATACAATTAGTCCATACATTCTTTGTCTGGCCTAGCGGTAGAACCGATCATCTGGATACATAGATTCTTCACCATACCTGACCGCACGACGCATCAGTAATAGCGGGACACTTAACGAGACCGGCACGCCCGCCGGTGAACTCAGAGAACAGAAGCAGAAATGCATATTGAAAACGTTTCTCTATGACTATGATGTGAGAAATATGTCATTAGGTACATAGATATACCCTCCCCCACCACCTACATTAGAACGATTTCTATTCTTCTTCGCCCTTTGTCCCGTCGCTCCCCTGCTACAGGAGCGATTTTCAAAAACTACAAAGCTTTTTCGTCCTTGACATATGTAGGTGCAACATTGTGTAAAAATTTCATCCAAATCCGGGCGGTACTTTCTAAGTTATAGATGGGCCAATGATGAGCGGACAGGCAGACAGACCGACCGATGGAAATAAGTGACATGGTTTTTCGTGATGCACATGTCATAACATCCGAAAAACATCTCATTTTTGAAATTCACAAAATGTATACTCCACTGGCATGTTCCACTCTCGACTTTCACTACAATTTCCACAAATCTCTTTATATGCAACTAGAATAACTATATACGAATGCACTTTGTAATGCTAAATACACATTATAACATATTTTCATAGAGACATTAAAAATTTGTATAAACGTAAAAAATATGTTTTTAGTAGTATCTGAAAAGTATGTCACACCCAGCTGGTGCAATTCAAATAGTATATTTTCCAGTGAATATTAGCAGATACTTTTGGCGGCGGTTCTAATTCAAGGGCACCAATTTATAACCAACGTATTCTTACAATAACGTCATGGTTGCGACCTGGTTCTAAAAATGTATCTGTCACGTGTCTTACGGATTTGAAGTTATGGAGTTGGTTGTATTCATGATTAAGGGCAAATAAGTTACTTTCCCAGGGAATCCGCAGTTATACGAATTATTGTCAACAGATAAATACTGCTCTTGTGACTAACTTATTCATTCAGTACCTGTATATGTACTAGATGGCGACATTCATTAAGCAACTCGGTCAAATAAGTTTCGTAAACTTGGAATCACGGAAACAGATATCCCTCACTTAGACATAATCAGACTTGAATAGGCGTTTGTCCCGGATCCACTGAAGGCTACTGCAGAACATGCAGGAACTTGATTATTTTACATGTTTCTATAAAATGTTAAAGTAGTGTTGTACCAATATATACTAGCATTATCGTTTTTTGGATATAGTAGCTACAGCTGTAGTGGAACAGTATGCAGAAGAAAAATCTATCAAAAATAAATTTCAGATATCAGAATAAACGTTTGTTTTGTTTTATATATCACTATACAGGGCGTTTCAAATTCGACCCTCACCACTGGGATCTCGGAAACTGTAAGAGATACGAAGTAGCTTAGATGGAGGCGAAGCTCCGTATTAAGGTAATCAACAAAATGCCGCTTAGAAAAGTTTCGAAATTCAAAGTACTTCCGGACTGAGACGAAAAAAACCGAATTTTCCCAAAATCGTTTCAATTTGTTCTGATTTTATTTTTAGTGAGATTTCAAAATAAATTGCAGATTAACAACATTACTTTTTCTCCTCTACAAGATGGCATAATTTGAATTTCAATATGAGGTTTCGTCTCTTGTCTTCCGGCATTAACCTTATTCTTTTTATGGACGCCATATTAGATTTTTTGCGCAGGTAATAGAGTTTTTTATTCTGAGTTCAAAAATATGTCATACATTGACATTGATTGACAAACTTAGTTGTTCAAGAAAAACATTTTGTATATCAGACCAGACCTCAAACAGAGTTTGGAAGACTGAGAAGATGGTAAATAAATCGAACAGTGAACAGTGTGCAGAGAAGAGTCAGGCTTTGCCTACAAAATAACGGACAACATTTTGAACATCTGCTATCATTTACTTCTACTTATTTATGATAATTATTATCACCATCAATAAAATTTTCATTTTGTGTCCAGGTTTCGCCGTACCTTTTTATTTCCTTATAATTTTCATCCAAAAACAAATTCATGGCCAACAAAGGAAATGCGACACTGAATTTAGGACTGAAGGGTCCATTTAAGTGTACAAATATATGTATAGCTTCCATATGAAAAACAAAATTGGTGATGGAGGAGAATAAGTAACAATTTATTGTGAAATCCCAACTCGAATAAAGTCAGGAAAAAATAAAGTGATTTTGGGATAAATCTGGAAAGATA